TGTAACATGTGCACACATCAGGGAGGGGAACACAAGTTAACTCACACAGTTGTGACAGGTAACTGCTTGTGTGGAACAGTGGGATTGAATGAGTTTTAGAGATTATTTTTGTTTTTGAGTTCGCTGCTCGGAGCGGTGGGATAAGGTTGAACTCTGTTTAGCAGTCTAGGGGCGTTTTATGGTCTTTGTGCAACATCTTCGCAAAGCAATGGACGGCAACTGCGGGTGTTGGCGCATTTGGTGTCTTTGAAAGGTTTCAAGAAAGGTATAATGTTATTGTGATTAAATGGGTCAAAGGTTTGTGGCTGTGAAATGGGAAAAAGTGGTAACTAGGTTAAAAAGTCGATTTTTCAAGTTTTCAATGATAGAGGCGTAAAGACATATTCTTAATGACAACATGTTATTATTCACCTTTTCTGGTGAGGTATAATTTTTCTCGATTGTGTGTCTCAATTGAACTCACTTGTTTATTTTTCCGGGAGGTCGCAAATTTTGGGTGTGTTTGGCTTCGGGCAAAAACTTCTGTCTTAATACGTGGGGTGCTTTTTGGGAGATGCTGACCTTTGGAGTAGATTAAAGCAATTTTCAGGGAAATAGTTCTCGTCCGACAAAACTAAATACAAAAAAGCTTTATTTGTTATGATAGATAATAAATTAAGTTTTTGGTGTATATAATTATTTTTTTCTCTCTTGGGTCGCGGTTTAAGGGGCGATATGTTTGGAGGGTAGTTGCAGAATTAAGGAAATTGGTTTTATTGGAATTCGGGTGGAAGGAGTATTATAAATTATTGTATAGGGTAAAGTTGAATTTTGTAGTCTTTCCTTTTTTTCCCTCTTTATCATTTCTTCTTTTTTTTTTCTTTAGAATTTTATCTCTATTATTTTAAGGGGTTAATGGAAAAAATTGGGAACTTTATTCACAAATTAAACAAAAATGTATTTCATAATTAGGTTTGTTTGAATTTCGGTTCCAAAAGGTACTAGGGTAGTCTTCGGGGGCTGCATTTTTAAAAACCTTTTCGGGGGTCATGCCAACAAGGGGAAAAGTAATTCAACAAATTTGGCAAGCGTATGTCGCAGAGAATATATGCTGGCATATTATAAGGAAATCTCAAAGACGCCGAGTTATGTAAACACCGGAGATTCAGTCGCACAGAACACGACACCGCGCACATATACTTAAATGGAATTTTGTCAACTGCCGACTTAGTGAGTTAGACGATTAGAAAACAGCAGATATAAACATTCTCAGCTGTAGTATCAGATAATTGTCGCATCTGCTCTATATCTCACACGAACTCGCTCCTTTGAATTTGGTGGTTGGAGATATGGTGGTTGTTACTGATAATCGAAGAATCATTTCTATGAATAGTGGTTAAGTTTCAAATCCTAATTTTTTTTTTCAAAATAAAAAGAGACTCAAAGGGTACACGACAGGGACGGCGCGGGCGAACCTGGATCCTTGAAAACCGGCGCACATTTGATTTGTTGAATCGGAATTTTTCATATTTTTCTCGGCACTTTGTCCCAACTATGTTGAAGCGACACAACAATGGCTACACAAATTATGTACAAAAAGAGGTTCGTAAAAAAAACGGTGAGTGTCACCCTATTGGCTGCACGTGGCTGCAGAGCTAGGGAACTCTTCCTGCCTGGATACTAGCTCTCGCGAGCATCGCCTCGATCACTGGCCAGGATGGGGCGGAATTCCGCTCTCTGGGTTGGAAAACTTCTTGTCGCGGAACACGCCGCTGGGATAGCAATATGCACAAAATCGCGTTTTGGGCCGGTTTTCAAATTACGACAGAACAGTTTAAAAAAACATATGATTCCAAAAACGTACGTTGACGGGAAGGAGTTTAGATATTTTTAACTTTCTCTCGCGTATATGTACAATATATATACGGAGTAAATCGCATTCTTCGTAGGCCTCTCTCTTTTCTTTTTTCGGACGTTTCCGCGACTCTAGATAGCAGTGGTTGGCCTCTCTTATTACGTTTGCTCGGTTAACATGCGCTGCAGACTTTTCAAGGTCCGTACATCCTCCGACCAGAAAGTCCTTCGGTTCCATTCTTTGCTTTCACCGAGCTCTGCCCAGTTTATCCCAGGGTTGTCTGGTTGGCGGACGGTATAGTCCTTCCTTGTTTCTCGCCTGGGCAGAGACAGGTCCGCAGGGAGCGTTCTTTGGCCCACCAGCCTTGGTATGCTGACTTCTTCTCAGGTGGGCACTAGCAGTCGGGTAACGCCTTCTCTACTTTTCTAATCTGTCCACCACCGGATTCCGGATTGGCGGCATCGTTTTGCCGCAGTTTCGTCCTACGTTTAATTTTTTCCATTCTAGAAATTCTCTTCCTCCATGTGTATTCAAATGTACGTGCACGCTAATTATAGTTCGTATCTATAACCCTTTTTTTGTTCTTACACTAAATTGTCCCGAACCTCCAGTAGTACCGGCAGCCACGACGCTGCATTGGTCAGGGCATTCTTATAGCTCCTCTTGCCTGGGGTTTAATGCGGTTCATCAAATATCCTTTCCACAATTTTTCCAGGGACGTTATGCAGATTTGGTACCCAAATATTCCTGACTGTTCAAACAAATTTATCTCTTCCTACTCCTTGGTAACTTTCCAATCCAGGACACCTTCTCCTCCTACTCAGATACTCTGTTTTTTTTTTCGGATTTAATGACCTTTAAGCCCACCTGTAACATACGCCTCTACGTCCATTTTCCGGGGTCATATATTCTGCATCGATCTCTAGCTTGACGGCCATTAGCTACCAAGATCATCCGCAAATAGACAGGTGGAATGAATAATTCGCTTGTCCGTTTATTAGCCTTCTTCATACGTACGGTTCAAATTTCTTGTAAGAATATGAGTAAATGCACTTACTTTAGGGAGTTGCGCATAGATAGATAGATTTTAAGGGTTTACCGTCTGAGTACTGTGGTGAGATGTGAGGGATCATGGAGGGGTAAGGCTAATTTTTTTGGCTTTTTTGTTTTTCTGAAACTCTGACCAAATGGGTTAAATATTTTTACTAGCCTTCTCACGTTCAGTGCGAAGATTTACATTAGCGGGCAATTTTGGGTCCACATTATTGGGGATTTATAGCACAATGTGCTTAAAAATATCAGACCAGAAAAAGTCGTTCTAGAAAACTCAACATGGTTTCTGGGAATAAGATTCGCCGGGGGCATTTTCACGCAACAATGTACGAAGGTAGGCCATTTCTCTTGAGAAAGAAAAGGGACATGCGTAGATTTTTTCTCTTAATTTTGG